TGCTTGCCCATATGGTCCATTGCGGCGGCGGTGAAAAAATAAACAAACACTCTTATTGTTGGATAATCGTTAGTAACACACTTTTGTCAAAAGTTATGACATTCTATAATGTTTGATATGATTTTAATCACAATACTTAAATGTGTCAGAAAAATTAAGAATAACAAGAAAAAAATCAAGCATAACTGTAAAATCAAGACAATTTTGCCGGAAAACTTCCGGTTCTGGGTTCTGCTTCCTGTTTGATTTGTGCTAGAACTCTTTCGATTTCATCTGCAGAACTTTTTGCAAGCGACTCCTGGATGTGAAATTTATTTATTCGGAAGCAACATAATTGACTAGAATTTGGAGTTAAATTATTGTTAAAATTTGTATATTGATAAAATGGCGATGCACAATGTTGTGATAGTTTTGGGGTTTAAAATTTCGGGTAAAATATTTTAAATTAGTGCTTGTACATGCTGTCGATTTTAGTCATTATCGTTTCAAAGATCGCGATAAGTTAAGGGGGATTGAAAAAAAGGATCAGATAACACAATCAAAAGGAGCCCTAAGGGGACATAATCCTGAAATGATTGACGGTGCTATTGTGAAAAGTACTTTGTATGAAAACAAGCAAGCGTTTTGTTCAACAAACTCGTTTATCAGTAAAATTTGCAAATTGAAAAAAATATTTAGAAAATCCCGCTGATAATGAGATGTTTACGGTGATATGTTTGGACATGACAGGCACTTGACAATAAGACTTTTTTAAACAAGAATGCTGCGTTTAAATTTAAGTTTGATATTAAAAGTGAGTGAAATCTAGGAAATGAGAACAAGACTGCCAGGGAGAAATAATATTCTTGTTTATCTGTGATATCAATATTGATCATCAACGCCATATGTTATTCTCTCTTTTTTCATCTCGATACTTTAAAGTTTATATTTTAAAAATGTAGTGGTGCAAATGTGAAATCCTTGTCCATAGAAAATGCGTTCTTAAATGTGGACATTTACTTCTTTATGCACTTATTCTTTACAACACGCAAATCATGTATATCTCAAACATATTTACCATAGATAAACAGAATGTATAAAATCAAATTTAAAAATTCTATATATTTTTTTTTCTCCTGCTGATTTTATATTATTGTGACTTTAACAACTATAAAATTTTTACGAGCACGAAGCTTTCATATCTTATCAACAGCTTTATCTGACGATTACTGCTGCGTTATTTTATTTTCGGTACATTGCAGGTGAAAATCGTATCTTTCACGCCATAAATCACGCATTTTCATAAAGTTTTTCTTGCTCCTTTATGAACTTTATTTCACAATACGTATACTGGCTGTTTAGCCCATTTAAGCCCCTGTATCCTGATTATGGCGCCGGGGTTTATAGCCCCAGTGAAAACAATTAATTAAAAACTACAATAAGCTACTGATTTAATTCTTTGGCAATTTGAAAAGGCTTTCTCCCATTGAATTTCAAGATTTACAGAGATAAACTTGTTCAATAAGTCATAACATATTTCATTGTGTTTTAACAAAAGCCGCCATATGCCGTGGATGAGGTTTTTAAATTTTTATAGATCTAAACATGTATGTTTTCTTCGATTTATTGCCTCCTATTCCGTTATGTTTTCCACATTTGCATTTTTATGTCATACAGCAGAAGAAAGAAACCGAATAGTAATGTTCAGAAGATAACATCTAGGGACCATTATATTTTGCTGGCCATTGTATATTTCTTCAAAGTTTTTTGTCCATATTTATTTAGCGGGATTCAAGCAATGCGATACGAACATTTATTAGTTTGTGCTGATTTAGTGCTAATATATGAACACTATCTATAACCAAAAAATAGATATGTATAACAATAATCAATGCAAATATATCTTTTCAAAAGTCAATCATTTATTTGCTTCTCAACCGTTATTATTAGACCATTTTCGCGGGCTTTTTTCTCGACAGAAGCGGCCATCTAGTAATTATCATATACGGCTTCCATGTCCTCTTGAGAATTTTTTATCACAAAGTTAATAAATATGAAATATGAGAAATCGTATCAAATTCTGTTTCCCGTTTTGTCCATTTTAGTATACATGTTAAACTGGAGGCGCAAAGGCTGTTCCTGGTTCCCTGGAGACTTATTGTGACTTAATTCAGGGCATTTTGTTTCTGATTTCTAATTTGACTTAAGTGACTTTGCGCATTTCATATAAGTTGATAATGATTTAGATAAGTTGACAAGCTTCCATTTTCAAAACAATCGTATTTCCTTTTTTCTTGTTAATAGAGGTTGATCACGCAAGAACTATTTTTTGTGGATTTAAGATTGATTTCTTGGATGTAAAATGATAGTACAATTAAAACATAAAATTTGTAATGGTAAACTTGATTCAACATCCCGGGAACGATGTTACACTCTCTCTCCTCTGCCACGCTATCCCTTATCTGTGTCAGCTGCAGTTCTGAAGCTGAGGACGGGTTTTATGACGGTCACAGTGTACGGGGTGACAGGTTTTATTTCAATCGTTTCGTGGTCATGGTTACACACAATGTAAACAGATCTCAATAAAGAAACAAAAGGTGTTTTGTTGATTTCTGATGCATTTATTACTGACAGTTAAGTGTAATCGCGTCACTGTCGTCTGCAACTTACAACCTAAACCGAAAATAATAAATATCTGGCAAAAGTCTGCGTCACTTTTCTTTCCTTTTTTGTGAACCTGGTACAGTGAAAATATAAAATTAAGTTATTGTACTATTATGATATTAACAAGTAGAATAAACATTTGTATTATGAACAGGAGAATTTGGTAAGAGTTTAACAAAGACGTATAACCTTTGATTTTAACAATAATAACATTCAGTTCGAGAAACAGAAAGAAATTACAGTTTAGACATATATACATGTTAATTGACAATAATAAAAAGGAAATCTTTTAAATTTCACCAAGGTAACATATGTATAGAGATTTAGTCTACTGTGATTGGTGTTAAAGATAAAAGGACATATCCCTCTAATATACATTGTATGTGGAATATGGACGCAAGCCGAAAGAAAGAGTCTATTGTCTTGTTCCGGGCTTTTCAAACGTTTGTACTGGTGCTTTTCTTGGGAACTGACAAATACTGAACGGTTTCTAATTACCTTCATTGATTTTCTTCCATAAATATGCATTGAAACGGGGCATAAACTTGTTTTGGGCCAGAAATTTTATAGGAACTATAACTTTAAAATAAACACTAAAAACTGGTTTAAATACAGTTCACATTTTATACGGTATTATATCCGCCGTACGGCCAGGGACAATAAATTACTTCAATTTTTACAACCTAATTTGCATAATCCAAATTTTATTAGGTATAATATTAACAACATTTGCTGAAAATGAATAATTACAGTGGCAAGGGTTCAACCCCCATTTACTTTTATGTACCTGATGTTTTTCAATGCGACATGAAAGACATACAAATGCGTTGACGGTTTGGATTACCCATATTTCTCGTTAATTTGAAGAGGTTCTAAAATTTGAAGTCTTTGTCCATGCTTTATCTGCTCAGATACTCAAGAGGGTTTTCTATTCGTGAAAAACCATTCTTTTTTATTATGTGTACTTTGATGTATTAAATGTGCCGTATGGTTTAAAGAACGACCCCAAGCATGGCTAAAACCCGTCTAATTCTCTTTTTCTCGATCTTTTTTTGTGATAAGCGTTCCTCTTGTATGTCGTGCTGGTTTTTCCGTTCGTTTTTAAGAGTAACATTTCGCAGAATAAACAAAGCTGCCTTGACAGAGTGGTCAAACTGTGTGAAACTAATCTGTAGGGTTCTTTGCATTAAAAATGTTTAAGAAGGCTTACCAAATGAAATCTTATTCGCTTTGATATACATGTATATATGAAAAAAGATATTGATAAAGTTTCTTCATCATGTAAACTTAAGAGATGGAAATTATAAAATTCTGAGGTAAAGTGCCGGTGATACCCAAGGGTAAAAAGGACATATATATAAAATATCGTTCACGCGAAATTTTTTGATGACATTTACGTTCGTTTTTAAAATTTTTATTAACATCCAACTGCGCTCGTTCTAGTAAATAGAAATCTAGCAATGTCTTGTGTAAATAAATAAAAATACTCCAATTGTAATAAAGGCAAATACTTATGTAAATTAATACAAGCTGGCGTCCTAGAAAGTTACGAGAAAGAACCTAATAAATATATGTTAAACATGTTTTATATTCAAATGTATTTTACTGACGCGAAGTTTCATTTTTCAAAAGCGATGCATAATATATACAAACGATGTTTGCTCTCCCTTGATAGGGTTTGTAAGGAAATTGACAACACTTCACTAAACAAATACCCCTCTTTTATTCCGGTACAAGTCCAACCAGAAGCAATTGGTGATTTTACTTTTCTTGTTAAATCGACACATTCTATTTTAATATCGATACTTCTGTTGAACAAATATTCAAATACAAGAAAACCATTCATTATACTTGTTAAACTATTACACCATCCTTTTCCTTGGAGAAGAAATGTACCGCAATTACTTCTTTGAGAAAAGTAAACTGCCCAGGACCCGCAATGATTGGGGTTAGAAAAACAACTTTTCAGCATACACCGTATAAATATAAATCATAGACTAGAAGTCGGCATTATTACAGTTTCGGACAATTTACTTAAATAAACTTTATAGGTTATATTACAAATGTAATTCCACTATCAATATCGTGTCAATATTAGCATTTAAAGTAAGTTAATTTCCCTCGTTTGAAAGAGGTTTTAGCTGTTAGTTTTTCGTCAATTGTTGATTTTAGCTATTCAATTCATTTCGTCCATTATGTACATATAAAACCTTAAACTCATTTTAATAATTGGCGAATTGTAGAGATTTTTAAATCATTTACCCAAAATTTTCTATTGTGCTCAGTTTAGGGGATAAAAACCGCAGTTTAAATACGGGTTCCAATTGACTCCGCTAGCTTACAACTATAGCAGGTTTGTAGGAGAGCACGCTGATGTTTAAGGCATTCAAAAACTTTCGGTCGGGCTGATATGAAAACAGGATTACAACTTCAACAAACGTCAAACCGAGTATATGACAGTGATAAATAATTACTACGATTTGCATTTCGTGAAAAGAAATTAAAATAAAATTACTGAGGAATATATTAACACACAAACAAACAACAACATGTAAGTGATATAGTTAACTTTAATTTAGTGAAATAAAACAGAAAAATAAGTTATTTTATTTAAGAAGTTTATTATTATTATTATTTTATTTTTTAAATGCATTGCGCTTTTCAATTGTTTTGATAGAAGCTAAGCAGTGCATGTTTATTATTATATTAGATTTAGATGTTGTTTTAAATAACAGAACATAACAGAACAGAACAGATTTTATAATAGTGTAATAGATGACCAAATTTACTTTATACGGGGAAGTCAAAGACCGGGCCTGCGAAGCGGGTCCGGGCTTTGGCTTGCCCGGCTATAGACTACACGTGTATATTTAAAAGAAAATCAAATAAAAAACAATTAAAAAATATATAGAATTCTATACCTATAAACGAAATTTTCAGTGTCAGTTCTAGTCGGGCACCGCCATTTACAATGTAACTCAATGATAATAGGCGGGGTATTCCGATAACGTACCAAATCTCAACTTTTCGGATAAATAATAATCGTCGAGTATTCCGAGTGAAAACGGAAGCAGTGCATGTAATACCGAATGACACCTTTAAAACGGAAGGAATGAAAGGAATATTTTAACGACTTCCCCGTTCATAGGCTTTGCCTAATTTCATATTATAAGTACTATACTTCTATTTAATTCTGATATCTTAATTTCCATTATGCTAGTACTGATACTTTACAATCAGTTTTGAAACACTATACGATCACTTTTCTTGTTTAAAGTTAGGCAATATTATTACGCTGATAAACAATAAGTATTTGGAATCAATTGGCACTTTTGCCATCTTAAATTTATCCCATTCTGTATGTTAATTGCTATTAACAAGTGATGAACACGTTATGACGTCACTTTATGACGTCAAACTTGAACGAACATTTGGACGTGAAGGTTTGACGTCATAAAAGACCAGAAGCGCTCTGACTACCATTGCGGTAAGCCGTTGTTTTTATTTCTCGAAAGTTTTCCGATTTTCTTTTATTTCCCCTACCTTATTTATTTTATATGTATGTTAATTATGAAATATGATGACTTAAATACTTAATGCAATTCATAAAACTTACATTTGCCTTTATTCTCATTTCTTTTGTTTAATTTACACAAACGGTCCTGTGATATCGAACCGAAAGACTGTTCCCCGTTTACAATACCAGTACAATTATATGACTTGAACATAACAGTTTCGTAATTACACATATTTACAGCGTACTTTAAAATAACAAGACTATTTAAGTAATTTTGATAAAATAATTTAATTAAATCATAATTTTGAATTCTTAAGCTTTCTTTTTCATGTTTAATATACTAGTATACTATTTCGTTCTGATGATGATGATGATGTTATTGTTGGTAAAAAATAACGATAAAATTGATGATGCTCTTCTTGATAATGTTGTTTATGATAATTAGTTGTGGCGGTTATCTATTATCATTATCATGAAATGAAAAATGGTGATGTGCTCTCTGTTGTTGATAATTCTCATAATTATATAGTCTTTGTTGTTGTTGACGAATAACTTTTATTGGTGCTATTGTTGTTGTTGATAATAATGATGTTGCTAATTTTGGAGGCCAAAAAGCAAATAAATTTTGTCATTGTCATATCACTGGTCATATTGTAGCATAATAATGACAATATTAATGATGATAATGAGGATATAAATATATAATATTATAATATTATTATAATTATAATTACAATAATAATATTTAATTATTATTATTATTATTGTTATTATTATATTTATTATTATAATAATATAATAATAATTATTATTATTATTGAAATAACGTACCAATACAGTTGTTTCATATATTCTAACAATTAACAATAATGGGAGCAGGAAATTTGTTAATATATATGATATACGAGATATATAAATGGATATATAAATTTGCCATTTCGTCCGCCATAGCGTCTTTCGACTTGTCGTCTGCGATAGTTCTAATTCGCACCGTCTGCTATATAAACTTCGACACACTTCTCTTTATAAGAAGATTAAAATAATAAATATAATGACTCATAAATATTTTCACAAACTGAAGAATTCAGTCAAAACATTGCAGAATATCTGGGTTTCAAATATAATATCTAAAGTTCACCTTCTGCTGATATCGTGCTTTTTAATTATACATGTACGGGATAAGTAAATTGTTTGTACAATCTCATCACAATATTTTGTCAATTTTGGCATATCATCTCTACTATTATGACAATGTTTATTTTCGAGGCATCCATATCTAAAACCTAAGTACATATACAGCACACATCAAGTATTTCTAATTTAACGCTATCAAATGTCGTCTGGTTGATACGAAAATTACTAATTTTCCCAAATTTTCGTCTTAATTCCCAAGCAATATTTACCTGTCAAACTTCGCCTATCTCGGTAATTTTTTAATCCCTACCTAAACTTGGGACCCTTAAGAAGGAACAAATAAGGGTATTAAGATAATATATAGATAGCTTTTAACATTTCACAGGAAAACGACGATAAAATTCAGAGTGAAGCTTCGTGAACAAATAAACAAGACCCATTTGAACGATTTTTTTGATAAACACCCGTATAAAAAAGTGCATTTGACAATTTGATATATTGAGAAGAATAAGACTGTAAAAAAAATATGTTGAGCTGTTGGTACACTTGGTACAGCTTTTCATGTAAAAATCTGTATTTATTCAATATGTTTTGTACGTATTATTAACTGAGAAGAAAACGATTGAAAATTTAGGTATTTTTCTAATGAAATATCGAACTAAAATAAACTTTGAGATAGTGCAATTGCTATTGTAGAAGGTGCAATAAAGGAGGATATAAAAACTGCATGTCATATTCGTTGTCGCTCCTGAAGTGTTTGTTTAATGATGAAGTGTTCCTTGATCAAATGTATAACAATATATGAGTAGAGTTATCAACGTTTACAAATAAATCTTCACTCTGAATGATAACAAATACAATTTTAGTTTAAATCTACACCAAAAATGTATTCATTTTATTGTGTTAAATGTAATAAAATAGCTTCGCTTTGTATTAAGTGCAGTCGTATCTTTGTACAGGACAATCTAACATTAAAAGCTATATGTAGAACTCTATGTAGAAACCCTCTCACGTAGTTTATTTGTTTTGTTTCCCTTTTAGTGAAATATTGTGCAAATTGGCCTGTTATAAAAACTATAATAAAAGACGACCATTTTTTTATCTGGAACTTAAGGACGTTTTTTTTTCATTTTTTTTTTGGTTCAAAGACATATTAAGTTAATATTTATTCTTATATTTTGTTTTTGTTTCAATACTGTATTAGTTTTCGGATGGGATAATAAGCAACCTTGTTGTTCAAATAATTATGAGGACAGAAATCATCTGGTTCAATATATTATCATTAGAAAAGCTTAAAGGGGCTAAAGTCAAATATGGACCCAGGTGTTAAAGAAAGGGGGTATAATCGGCTTAGGGGATTTTCTTGATGAGAAATTTAAATATGGTTATCAAGTGTTAAGTCAGTCATTAATGATGTGAGGAGGAGGTGTTTGGTCAATAAAGCGTTTGGATGATTCTGATTAAAAATTATTATAAAGGGACGTAACTGGACATTGAGTTATCGTGTATGCTTTGTGATTTTTAGACACATTCTGGAATAAACGTTATATTAAAAACAACAGCAATCTGTTGCATGGTAACCTTTTACACAAATTAATGACTGTTGGAATAGATAGTTTTGAAGTTATACTCACAAAGTTAAATCTTTCGTGTACCATGCACATAGCTCAAGTCGTTTGGAAGACCTGGTGATTTTTTTTTATTCTCTTAGAATCCTTATTGTATTGCTAGAAACGTAATTTTTTACAAAAAAATATCCTTTTAAAACTATCCACTTTATCACCATCGCATTGTGATTTTTCTTCATTTTTTTACAGTTTTGTTAGTCTGCGTGCAAAGTGCAAAGACTCACGTGATTTGCTCATTATTTTCTAGTGGACTAAAATCGATGCGAATGACATTTTAGAACAGAATCATTAAATCATCGCGCTTGTAGGAAATTGCTTAATTTCATGATGCTGGATGTGAATCATTAAATGTAATACAGTTATCAAAGAAAACTACCGGAGGCTTTTGGTGATAAATTAAAAGAAATAATAACGTTTATTTATTGTCCCTTTTTCTTCTATTCCTTCAAATGAGCGGTAATTACATTACGGTGTAACTGATTGAACAACTTTGCCTTATTAGTCAAAGTATTAGACAAGAAAATTTTAATGATGGAATGTCATTACCGCTCGAGATCACATGTCGGCGTCTTTCATACCAAAATTTCTACATCTTGAGATTTTTATCTTTAATATTGTAAACTTACAAATAAAATAAAAGAATAAATAAGTGTAAATCGGTTTATTGTTTCCGGAACAGCTAACTATGTTGTCGGTTCAAGATTTAACACCGGAGGCGATTTTAATTTGTTTGGATAAAAAGTTAAAAAAGAACCGCTGTTATTTCCCGTAATATTAGTAGGAGAAGACTTTTACATATCGGGATCTGATATCAACAAAACAATTTTTACAATATTATCAAATTTACTTGCCCTTAAAGATTGACTGTGATCAAATGGTCGACTGGTCATCAGTTTATCTTATATATAAACCCCGTTGTCTCGTGTTTAACTCATCATTTTAACATTATTTATCAGAGAGGATTTATGATTTATGTATTTAAACATTAGTGAAATTTCATATTTTCGTTGCTATACAAAATTCACACAAAAAAGGATAATTGTTTGAAGGAATTTTAAGACGGGCTAGTAAAGGGTTCACATTACTAATTTATGAAGGTACGTCCCTTTAATGGGGTTATTTATGAAGTATTTTTGCATATCTATCTTTTTCAGAATCAAAAAGCTTTGGTATTTTATTTCATTTAATGGTACCGCATTTTTTTGGTATTACCCTTTAAATTTATTTACAATACATACCCACGCTATTATTAATTTTTGCAAATTGAAAACA